CCTGCCTTCACCCTGAGTCAGCTGGGATAGGCTCCGCCCCCCACCACCCTGGTGAGGATTAAGGTGTAGAGACGATGGATGGATGGTCAAACACTTGATATGTAAAGGATGGTTGTTTGATACGTGACACCAGCACGCAGTCGAAGCAGCGAATGACAGACGATTGTTGGAAACTACAATCAGCTGTATGTCCAAACAGGACGTTTTTCTGTGTTTACACGTATTTAACAGATATGCTGGAATATACAGTCATCCAAGCTAAATGATAATGATAGTAATTATTCAGGAGAGTGAAAACCATAATAATAAGCTGCACTAATGATGTGTGCATAAAGAAAAGGCCGTACGAGTTGGTTAGATGATGTGATTCATGAACCAGACATGAGCCGTCGTGTGTAAAACGTTCTGCCGGATCTAAACCACACCACGAACCCAAAACCAAGACTGAGCGAGTTCGAAAGTAAAACTAAAGTCTGCAGAGATGATGGCACACGATGTGGCGACGCAGCTCAAGGCGAGAACCAGGCCAAACTCTGGGGACACCAGTGATGCATGCTGGGAAACAATCTTTAACAGGTTCATTTAATTGGAAAGATGAGTTGTTTATGTTCTAATTATTGAGTAATTCTGTTTGTTTACTGCAGCCATGTGTGAAAATGAGCTGCACAGTCAAACATTCTTATTATCCAGTTGTCTTAGATGTTATCTTTAAATGGTCCCTGAACTTGGTCCAGTGTGATGAACTGGTCCAACAGTGTTCCTAAACAGACGCCACCGACACCCGGTTGTTTCAAACAGCATTTATTCCTGTGTGAGAAAATATTGTCTCAGGCAGATTACAGATCTTGCGGTACAATTTAAATGGCAAGATCAAAAATCTCCTGCGCCACCAAGAAAGAAAACAAAAGAACCCGCGGGCGGGCGGGCGGTGCCGCCGGCGCCTGCAGAGTCCGGGTCTTTGTGCCGCCTCGCTGCTAGAGAGTATGTTCCGACGTGGTGGTGAACACCGTCACTATTACAAAGAGCTACGTAGCATCAGACATAAATCTTTTCAATATTTAACTTTTTAAATAACACTCTCGACTGCCACAAATTATAAATTAAATTCTAAAGTTGATTTTTGCATTCCTTAAATTACTTCATGTAAGCCAATATAAACATACATTTACATATTTACAGAACTATACACATGCACTGTGACTACACTCAGGTTGTATACATGTATGTATAAGCTGTACACGGACACACAGGCCACACATATGGCTCCAGGAGTCACCCATCCTACACCCTTCTTATTCTTTTTTTAAAAACAGACCATTTGTGCTTTTCAGGTCTTCTCAGCCAGATCTGCAAACAAATGCAGGTTTCTGGAGCGAGCGACCGCAGTAGACTTCATCACATGAATCACCTCCGTAGTGGCTTCACATCTGACCGAGCAGGCAGCTGCACCGGCGCCTCCAACATTCACAATACAGTTTCACAATATGGAAAAATAAGTAGACGCCTCTGAAGTCTCACCGGCGACACGTCACAGCCGGACTGAACCGTCTCAGACTGTTCCTTGTCTGGTCTCTACGGAGCGGTTCTGTTGCTCAGCAGGACCCAAAAATGTGTTAAATAGACGAGAACACAGCAGAAAAACAGCTATGATCCAATTTAACGTCTGCAGAAGCACATCTGAATGAAGACATTTCATAGCAGCTAAATAAAGGGAAGAAAGCTTTAGTGCATTTATTTAGATAAAAATCCAGTTTATCTGCTACCTGCCCGGCTATCATATCTATATATATATATATATATTATGGGATGTCGTTGTCAGCGATAGAAGAACATTTTAAGACGAGTCCAGACATGACGTGAACGTCCAGTGAGACTTTCACACTTCCTCGTACACATTGACATCTCAATGGTGAATACAATCTAAACGTGTTGAATCAGGACGATCCCTTTGACAGTTAAATAATTACACAACCTCACGTAGGTCTCACTCACTTTGGCCTAAAATAAAAACTTTATATGAACACAGTGGTTGTGTAAAACCTTTTTTCGTTTGTTTTAAAAATGACACGGATAAATGAACAAAGTAAAAAGTCTTGAAGCACTTCCGACACCAGCTGGAAGCCTCCTAACCGTCCCGCCGCCGTCACGTTTAAGAGCGCTGAAGAAGCTTCTGCACATATAACCAAGCAGCTTGTTTAAGATGATAAAATATTTAAATAAAATCTATATAAAAGTGGAGGGAGTGAAGTTAAGGTTTCCTCTCACGTGGTTTAAATGAACCATAGCCCGGTCGTAGGCAGTGTGGACAGACTTGCGGACGCTGGGCTTCTTCCCCTCCATCAGGCGCAGCTTGTCCACCGTGTCGTCCATCCCCAGAGACAGCAGCTTGTTCCGAGGGAGCCACTGCCTGCAAAACAGAGAGCGGCCGGTTTTAAAAGGACGACACTGGATCCACTTCAAACTCAACGGCGCCGTCCGAATCCTACCAAGTTCTTTTGGCGTCGAAGAAGAGCACCAGGAAGAGCTTCTCGCCTTCCTCCAGCCGCCTCCACTCGCCCAGCTTGAGCACCTCCACGGGAGGCACAGGGATGGGGATGCCGTTGTGGAGGAGCCCTTCCTGGGGCATGTCCGGGTCGACAATCTGCAACAACAAATGGTGTCAGCTGCTGCGAAATCAAAAAAAGATTCCCGTCTATGTGAAGCAACAACATGTACGGTCGTCCTCAGATGTATTCATCCCGTCCATTAAAGAAAGGATTCACAACAGTCACTCAATCAACTAGAAAAAAGTAATTTGCTAAATTATAAACTGTCCTGGACCAATGAGAGGCCTTTGCTGATGAGCAGTGGGCCAATGAGAGGCCTTTGCTGATGAGCAGTGGACCAATGAGAGGCCTTTGCTGATGAGCAGTGGACCAATGAGAGGCCTTTGCTGATGAGCAGTGGACCAATGAGAGGCCTTTGCTGATGAGCAGTGGACCAGAACACCTGTCAACAGGTGCACAAGTCTGACTGAGAGTTACAGAAACACCTGATGGCAGTGATTGGCTCAGAGGGCTGTTCAGCTAGATAGTAGTCTACGGGTCCCATCAGGCTGGTTTTTTCAACATTTCTGTTGAACCACAATGTCATGATGTTCATTAAATCTTTATTTATTATTACTTTTGTCAGGTTCACCTTATTCCAGCTGTTTGTTTCCTTCCTTAACAGGAGGCCATGAACACATCTGGCTGTACAGACGTACACCACATCCTGTAAGATGCTCACCATTGCTGGGTACGACGGATATCCTCTGCATTTGGCCCAAACTAGATCCAGTGGCGTGAGTTGGGTCTCACTATCTAAAGACAGAAGTGTAGACTTTCCTGTGAACAGGATATTCCAATATATGTCATTAATTTCTATTCACGACAGCTCTTGAGCCCAAACTAAGAATTGAATGGTAGAAATGTGCCATAGTTTGGTTGTGGTGTGCAGATGCTTCCTGTAAACACACACAAACAGAGGAGTGTATTCTGACTCTCGTGATACACACCAGACCCAGAGATGTCTCCGTTCTCGCTGCTGGGAACTTTGGCCAGAGCAGGTTTACCGCGACTCCGTTTGGGAGGAGAGACGCTGCAGTCGAGAGAAAAGCGACACACATGAGCACAACTGAACAAAACCCACAAACCAGCAGCTTTGGATTTAAAAAGACAACAGGCCTCAAGCAACAACACTTTCACTTTCTGATCCTAAACTCCTCCTTTGCTCGTCGAAATGTTCAAGCTGCATTCAGCAAACGCTCACATCTGGTTGTAAAGCGCTTGTATCAGGTTGATGAAGACGACCACACAGGTACGTCGTTAGTTTATGTGTCTCTGTAGTTTTAGGTCACTTCAAAGCGTTGTCTTACAAAAGTTTTTCTAGGGTGTAGATGCTCAGAACCTTCATTTACAGTGAAGACATGTAGACAAGAAAACAAGTTTCTGACTTGTAATGTCAGCATATCTACGCTATCACCTCGTTAGCTTTCATGGAGTGATTTTGGCCAAAACAGTGTCTATGCTAACCTCACAAAACGGCTATTAGCTTCATGTTTTCCAGGCTTATTACTGGAACACATGTAGGATTACGGTTACATGTTGGTTGACACATGCTTGACAGCATATAGATTGGGTTTTTCCATTTTCATGTGGACAAATAAGAACAAAACAGCAAAAACACTGTTAAAAAAACATAAGAAGTGCAATAAATGTAGAAGATGCTGCATCGAAATATGTTCTAAGATCCATAAAACCTTAGTGTTATCAGTTTGGCATTAAGTTTCTACTGTAAACTTTTCAAATAAACTGATTTGTTTTATTTTTACTCTCTAAATTCATTTAGAGACGTTCATTCTTAAATCCTTTCAAGTCAAACAAATGCGTCGTCCCTTGCAGCCAACATATGTGCTGATGCTCATACATGTCAGGATGGGATCACGTGTGGATCTGATGTGTAAAACAACCGTTGTTCATCCCACTCATTCTCCTACTGCTCAAACTAAAAGCTGTCAGTAGAAGCTGCTGCTGAGGTCAGCTGTGATCCCACGACTCACCTCAGGTTTGGCTCGTCGTCGTCGTGCTCTGCAGACGTGTGCTTTCCGTTCGTCAGGCCTTGAAAACCAAAAACGGAACGGTGACAAATATGGACTTTCTACAAATGTCTGTAATTCAGTGATCTGGTCTGGCTCTACCTTCTTCGCTGGGCGGTGGAGGGAGTTTGTCTGCGTCGCCCTCTGAGCTCTGGCCTCTGGACCTCAGGTGGTGAGCAGAAGGAGAGGCAGGAGCAGGAGAGGCGTTTGGAGTCGGAGGTAGGGTGGTGATGTTCACGCTGGGGGAGCTGGGGCTGGCCGGGGTGCTGTCCAGCCCGTTGGCTTTACCCTCAGGGGTTTTCCCGTTCTGCTGTGGGGACGACTTGCTCTTGGTCAGCCGCGCCCCGTTCTTAGCTTTCTTAAACAGAACAGATGTGCGCCGACCGACGCCCACCAAAGGCACAGCTGGAGGCGTGCCCAGCGGCGTGACCTCGTGGACGGCCTCCTGCTGCGAAGACGCCGTTTCTCCGACCTCGGCCTCGTCTTCGCCTTGGCTTTTGCTGCCGCTGCGGGAAGACCTCTGGCGCTTGTAGGAGCGGCCGGGCGACCTCCGGCCTCCGGTCACGATGCCCAGGACGGGAGGCTCCAGGGGGGCGTCTCCTGGCAGCGGCGACGACACCGGACAGGTGAGCTCCAGCACAGGTGGAGAGTCGTCTGGACCAAACAGAAATGTATTTAAGGATCATAAGTCCAGTTTAAATGACGCTTAATTAACAAAATCAAGTCGTTTATCTCTTTAAATCTGAATCCGTTCACTAGCTGCAGCTTCTGTCCTGCTGATCTGCTGGTTTTCTGTTTTAAATGGTTGTAATTTGAATGTGTTTGGTTGTGAAAATAAATAAAAATACATTAGAAATACCAATATCAACTGAACTATCAGGAATGCCATGAAGTAGAATGACATGTTTTACCTGGTCCAGAGTTGGACACTGCCGTTAACGGTCCATTGTCCACACTGCTCTTCCCCTTTTTCTTCCTTTTCTCCTTCTCCTTCTCCTCTACCTCCTCCTCCTCCTCCTCTTCTTCCTTTCCTTCGTCCTCCTTGTCTTTGCCGTTCACAGACTGGGCGTTTTGCTGCTGCTGCTGCTGCTGCTGGTTCACCTTCTGCTTCAGCGTGTTGATCTCTCGCCGCAGCAGCCTGATGCGTTTGGTGCGGCCGCCGCTGGTGCGCATGGACGTCACCATGTCCAGTTTGTCCAGTAGAGCCTTCAGCTGCTCGTCTGTGGTGAGGTGCAGTCTGTTCTCTGGGTCCAGCAGAGAGTCGACTGTACGGATCATGACAGGAGGAAAAAATCCAAATGAATGAATGAGACCTGTGGGTTTTGTTTAAGATAAAAACGACTCCTGCTACCGACTCACCATCGTCCCATGTGCAGTTGTAGAAGCCGTGTTTATTGGGCGCCTCTGGCAGGTGCATACCGGTGCTGGGGTCCAGGCCGATGCTCTGGGACTGCCTGTGGGCGTGGCGGAGGACGGCTCCACCCACCTCCCGCAGCTGCAACGCCGCCCGGTGGAACATGGTGTCCTTGGAGTTGTACTTGAGGCAGTTGGAGATCATGAGGTCGAAGTCCTTCTCCAGGTCGGCGATGGAGCAGTAGGCGTGTCCGTCCAGTCGGGTGCGCATGGTGGAGAAGTCCATGGGTTGGGAAATGAACTCCAGGTAGTCTGGGACCTCAGTGAATCACAAGAAGAGTCTGAATGTCAGCCGAGCTACAGTGAAGCCAAACCAACAAAGCTGCAGACTGCGTTCTAACTGCACCAACCTCTGACAGGTTCACGGGCTGAGAGAAGATTTTGGCGGCGTCCTTCTCCTGCAGTTGGTCCAGGGTGGATCGCAGAAGCACCAACGCGGGGGTCAGCTTCAGCTCCAGAGCAGCCTGCTGGATCTTCATCTGAGGACGACGACGTGAGCGGACGGGAGAGAGCAGAGGGAAGACAAGGTCACTCTGGAGGGTTCAGATGAATGTCAAGAGCACAGATTGAAGCTTTAAACGTTATTTCATCGTCTGTACAGCTAATGAGAAATTTCTTAAATGATTGTTTATTCCATCCATATAATGCCTAAAATGTCCATTAAAATGTTTCTGATCCACAGCAACATGTAAACTGTTTGCTGCATCCGATCAGCTGCTCAAATTTAAAAGCTCAGAGGTATTTAAATTGCCTCGGATCATAGATAACTAGAAAATACTCAGCAAACATTTATGAAGCTGGATTTTGTGGAACTTTGATTAAAAGATCACTTGAACAGCGAACCGACTACCAGATGAGGATTGTAAACACATGATGTTTATAATTAACAGAACTGGAATCAGTAAAAATAACCGGGACACTTATAGATGGTGTCAGACTTCCTGTTGAACGCACCTGCTCTCTCTTTAGCCTCTCTCTCTTGCGGATGAGCTCCACCAGAAGCCTCGCTCTCTCCAGGTCTTGCCTCAGCTTCTGCCAGTATCGTAGCTCCTCTCTCGCGGCGCTCAGCTTCTCATCCGGCTCCCTCTGGACATGACAGGAAAAGCACAAAGACATCAGGTTTCAGCTTTAAAATACGTAAGAGTGATCGTTTCCTGCAGCACTTTTTGTGGGACACTGAGGAGAAACTGGTGCAGAAACTCTGGTTTGCTCCTCGGCCGATTCAGCGCTCACCCGGCTTCCCAACAAGGAAAAACAGAAATCAAGTCGCCTTTATAGACAATCTGTAGATGCAAAAGTTGTAAAATACAAATTTAATCACAGTTAGATTATCACATCTTTAAACTTTGTGGTTGTTTTCTGTGATAAATCATATTTTAAAATCCTAAAAAGTGTGGACTGTTTTTTGTTGCATCAACTTAAAATCAATCTTCAATCGAGGGGGAAACTTAAGACCGATATTCACGACTTTTTTTTTACAAACCACCACCCTCTGCCGTCTACACTAAGAGCTGTGAAGGGTGGTGGGAAAGCCTGCCATCTATCTCAAACGCTAACTGCAAACTGTGAGGTCTGGGCTTATGCTGGATTTCAGCGTGTGAGGATACAAATGAGGTGTGAAGTGGTTTCGATTCAAGTGACTTGGCCGACTGTGGTTGGAACAGACTGGTTCTGTGAAGGCCTCAGACTCTATGTGACAGTAGAATGTAGATGTACTGGTTTAACTCGGTAATGCCACACCACATGGACGGAGTGCCTAAGATAAAATCCATACTTTGCAGTCATGTGTGAAAATGTAGAAACTGTTTGTTTAGTCAGTTTTCAGTCATTTAAACACATTATCCCAAACGAATACGACAACCCAAAGGCACTGTTTAACGGTATATGTGTTATTTTTATACACACAACAAAGAGTGCAAATGATGTCTCTCCTCACCTGCTCGGCGGTCCTGTGGGCCTGGAGATGGGAATGAAGGCGGCGTATTAACGGCATCCCATTTCGGGACTGTCGCTTTAGCAACCAGTAGTTATGAAGCCGTTGCATGAACTGATTCTTCCTCTGGACGTCGACTCCTGTGCAGATCTTGTTCAGCCTGTCGAGATGTAATAGAACAATTATACATTACAGCCTGTGTGGAAATCATGGTAGAAGCAGTGAGAACATCATCACGTTGTGACTTTATAATAAGGTCAATACGCTCAGTGCACCACACCAGAGAGGAAACTTCTCTGACCTCTTTAAGGCAACAGACTCATATGCAAATTCCGGCAGTATGCAAATGTCCCACCTGTGAGAGGGGATCTGAGGCACCAGCAGCACAGGAACGGTTGAGCGGCGCGTCGACCCGCCAGACCCCTTTGAATTCTTCTTTTTCTGGCCTTTGGTACCCTTCTTGTTCTGCGGCGAGGGTGGGCTCTGAGTATATGACCTCTGACCCCGATTGCCCCGGCCACCCACCAGCCTCCCTTCCACCGACTCGTCCCCAGACCCGTCCCGCCGAGACCCGACGGGAGAGTGATGCTCGCAGAAAGCAGTCTTCTTCACAGAGAAGGTGGTACCGTTCACGCCCGTCTCCCTGACCGGGTCTATCTTCATAAACAGGCCGGCCTTCTGGGCGCAGGTGACGTGAAACGCTCGGTAACAGTTGGCTTTGTGGCACTGAATGGACGCTCCCCTGCCCTTCTGCTTGCACAGGTAGCAGGTGAGCTTCCAGCGAGCAGGAGGGATGTTCTTGACGCCCTCGACGGGCTCCAAGAACACAGTGTTGGCAAAGCACACCTCTGGGATCCATATGGCACAGACAACATGGGCCCAGCGCCCATCGCTTGTCTGTTTGAAGGCACCTCCTCGGTTGGGGCAGAGGACACAGTCTACAGGGCGGGAGGGGGACTGCAGGCAGCAGCGGCACAGCCACTGGCCCTCAGGTACGTAGGGCACGCCGTAGCACTCCTGGTGGACAGCCAGGTTGCAGATGTCACAGAACAGGATGACGTTGCTGTTCAGGCATTCGTCGTCCAGGCAGACGCAGCAGAAGGCATCCTCGTCGACGGCGCTCTGGGACAGAGCCTGGCTGCGGGACTCCAGGATGGACTCCCTCTCCAGGCGGTCTATCAGCAACTCAAAGGTGTCGGGAGGAACGGAGGCATGACCGTCTGACACCCGCTTTTGGTTCACCATCTCCAGCCAGGCCAGGTCCTCCTCGTCCATGTCGTACTCGGCCACGCTGTCCTGCTCCTCCCCAGACTTCTCGATGTAACGGTAGTAGGCCGTCGGGAGAGGAGGCGCCTCCGACGGGGAGACTGAACTCAGCACACGGAAGGTGGGCTCAGGCAGGGGGCTTTGGTGGGACGGGTGCTGGAAGGAATAAGTAGAACCTGTGTGCTGCTGGGAGCCAGACCGCTGGTTCTGGTGAGATGTATTTTTACTGCTCCTCCTGCTTTTACTGTTGGAGGGTTTCCTCCACGATCTGGTTTTGCTCTGCGTTTGCTCGCTGTTCTCTTTGTTGCTGTTGCACTCGGCAATGTCCTGGGCCATCATCTCGTCCTCCGTGATAACTGGCAGAGGATCGGTGATGTTGATCCGATGGAGCCTTCCCTCGAGGTCCACTTCCACTATCTTCTGGGCCTGAGCGTACGTCAGAGTCTCCCTGGACGGAGAGAGCTGCAGTCTGTAAGGCGAGGGGGGCCGCAGCTGGCCAGATGATCCCCTGCCCCGTCCTCGGCCTCGGCCTCGACCCCTACCCATCGTGAGTCCGCTAACAACTGTCTTGCATTCCCACCTCCTCACTTTCCGCATGGGACTTCACACCAGCTGCCTGACAGATGGAGAGGAAGAAAAAAAATGTTTAATGCAATGATTGAAGCTGCTGTGTCAACACTATTTCCTACTTTATGTAATTATCTGCAAAGATTTACTGTAGCTGCCATATATTCATACTGGGAAGCAAAATGGGAGATATAAAAGCCTGGACAGGAACCAGAGGGCTCGTAATCTGTGTAATGAGTGTGATGAATGTTAGATTGAAAGCATAGTGAACAAAATGAAAAGGTGCAAATCCCCGTTTAAACAGTGAGTCTAGTGGATGTTCAGGTATATTCTCATGCGACTGAAATGAAAAAGGTGATTCTGGTGCCTTTTGTAATAATAATGTTTTATCTTTGGTAACGTAACCTGCATTTCAGTCCTGTTGAGAAGTTTGTTCTTCACACCAGGTAGTCGTCATCTCAAGGTGAATAAATCTGAGATCCCATTTAATGGGAACATAATTATTTAGACATCAAATTATCATACCATGAAACAACTATAAATGCTTAATTTTACACAAAAGCCCCCCTAAACCTGTATTAAATTCTGTATTAAAGTTGATAATAATCCCCTTAATGCACTAAAATGGCCTTGGTATAACTCCACACCGTTGCTTCCTTTAGAACGCACAGATTTACTCGTCTCTACGTCCTGCAGCTCGAGCACACCCCAGACACTGTAATACTGCTCGAGCTTACTCAATGCTGAGGTTTAATATCGGAGAAATTTAGCCAAACATGACCAAGACTGTCATCAGTTCACTGCAGCTTCAAGACAAATGCTCAAATGACTTCTTATTTCACTTATATGTCTTGTTAACAAGCTAAAAAATTTGATTTACACCTGAAAAGGTCTTTAAATGAATATCAATTGACATTAATTGTCCCACACTGACTGTAAACCTATGTAATGCTATACAGATAATTGTGAGTTTCTCTATTTACACACTAGCCTGAGTCCCTGAATGCAGACGGCTCTTTCCTCTCCTTACGCCATCTACATGGTATCGTTTTCAAAATCTATCACATTGAAAATGTCCACTTTTGTCAAGGACTTGGTCTGAGCAGTCAGACAGCTTTGCCAGTTTATTTTTCAGTTGGTGATCATCTTCCTGCATGCAAACGTTGCACAAAAACAATTCCCAACTTGTGATTAATACAAAAAAAGGTTTTTCCTCAAGGGCAGAATAATAATGAGGTGCAGAACGGTCTGGCTCTGCGAAACTATTTACATACTAATTGACTGGCTGATATAAAGTAGTATTTGTTCCTTATTCTTTTATTATCTAGTAGTATCCTGTGGTTCCCAATCTGTATGTGTGCATATAAACTGAGATATAACACATTACTTTACTTTGATTTTGGAACTGTTACCAAAGTAAAAGAAAAAAACAAGAAAACTCCGTTATAAATACTAAAGAAAGCAGCCGTTATCCGTTCATAATCAAGGAATTCGTAAAAAATCGCGGCCTAAAGGCCTGTTTCATATCCCAACAGTGTGCCTATTATATATTTTTTTTATTCCTGGACATCACAGTGTCCACGTAAAAGGGGTCAGCTGCGGTTCTGTGTAATAACAACACGTTACCTCAAGCACTCTTGTTGCACAAACACAACTACAGCAACTCGTCCTGCTGCATGCGTCTCAGCTGTCTCCCCATTGGTCCAATCAGGAGTCAGTAGCGCGGCCGTTGGTCGCTCCGGCCAATCAAATCGCAGCACCTTGTTTTTTTTTCTCCCCTGTTGCTGTGCATAGTTCGGTTGCAGCGCGCTAAATACCAACCCGAGTATCTAACATCTGTCAGCCATTTTAAGCGCTCAACAGCAGAGACAACGCTTGTATTGCAAGTTGATTAGCAGCCCAATTATACATGCAAACAGCAACCAGACAGCAGATGCGCTGTTTGCACCGTGCCTAAACGCATAAATTACTTGCATGTATATATTAGATCACGACACTGTAAATGGTCAACGTTCCGGGCATTGCTTTGTACTCCAGACCCCTGCAAAAAGACCGTCTCTGGCTGATGCGATAACGTTACTCGGTCGGACAGGACACACGGATGTCGTGTGACCAAACGGCAGAATTTCTAAGCAGCGCTGAAAATGCCGAAAACACCAGAGTGGTTTACCTTGTACGACCGTCCTCTGCAGTGCGAGTGCCAAACAGAATAACTGCGGCTAGCTAAATGTCAGCTAGTGACAGACTACAACCGAGGCGGACATGCTAGCCGTTAGCTTAGCTAGCCGGTAATTTCAGGAGCGACAGCGTCATCTTCAGCACTCCAGCTCTCCGCCGGGACGTCGGTTAGACACACAGGCTCGACCCGGTTTCATTGATGTGGTTTAAACCTTTCAAACGGTGATGGTTAACAACTTAGGGGCAGCAAAATCCCGAAGATATCAAATTAATGTACCTTGGAAGAGGCTAAATATTCAGTCAAGATGGCTTGAAAAATACGCCCCTTTAGAAAAAACCACCTCAGCCAATGGGAGGAGGCCGCTTCACCTCGCACGCAACGCGCACCGGCTTCTGATTGGTCAGCGCGACAAACCGAACTCATCGGAGTCGGCGTGCAGTGCATCACAGAGAGAAGCGATGAGAAAAGCAACGAGACATTTATTGCGCGCCTTCTGGCCTCATCTCCATCTCCCCCAGACTACTTCACACACCTTTTAGACGTAAACATCGGGGCTGTTTTGTGGAGCTTGTAGCAAAAAAAAAGCCCTATTAACCCCATAATGACAGTAGAAAAATAACTGCATCCACACAATAATATAGCTGTGCGAGTTAGAGGGCAACACATATAGAAATACTGATATTTCTATAAATACTTCTGGTAAGTCTTTATAGGTTTTAGTTTCCTTGTACTAAGAGCTATAGTGTTGTCAGAAAAAGAAAGTCAAATGTATTACCACTTAGGACATTTGTTTGACAAACATGTAGAAATATATATTCACATAAACTAATTGTACTGATAGTAAATAATCAGAAGGTTGAGAATGATGGTGTGTGAAGATGGTCCACATGTGAGATGTCCAGGATTGTTCTCTAAGCCCCCTGTGTGTCCTTTTAGAAGACATTGTGCAGGCCACAAACATCACACGATGCACATAAAACAAAGATTATATGGAGAGTGAATGTAAACGCAGGCTGATCACACATGATGTGGAGATGGAGCTCATGACAGGAGGCGACAGGGAGAAGAACTGTATGTATGTTAATGTGTTTTTGGACAATACTGAGCTGGTCTGAGGAGCAGCTCCGTTTGTTTGTTCTCTAGAGAACAGTACGGACCAAACATAGCTGACTCTGCTCATTTCTTCTGCTCAAGTGAGTTGGAATAATTTAGAATAAATCAGTGGATCTGGTAGTCAGAAGAATTCTCCACCACAGATCTGAGCTTTGCCGTTCATTCCTGACCTTGGCAATAGCAGCTCGACAAAATAAATGTCAGCCTAAGATTCACTTTGAAGCTGCAACTAACTGAATTTTTATTATGGGTGGATCTGCTGACTGCCCAATTGATTTGTCAAAGCTATAAAATATCAGAAAGTAGTGAAAAAGCCATTCAAATGTCCCACAAAGACATAAATGTTCTTTTTCTATTCAAAGTAACAGAGCAGCAGCCTCGTGCCCACTTCTAGCTTTCAGGATGCTTTCAGTCATCATCACACTTTCTTCATCATGGACTGGAGTTCGCTGCCACATAGATGGATCAGGTGATACGACAGCTCATCTAACAACGAGTAAAAACCTAATGCAGAAAGCTTTTTCTGCAGGTTTAGTTAATTTTCATAAGTTAAACCAGTGGATTGTTAACTGATCGTCTCAGTAATAATGGAACAAATACGACATGTTTAAAGATTCTGGGAAACTTCATTTGATGTCTTTAGTCATAAAACACTGAAACACAATCCGTTGGAAAAAGCAAAGTGCTTATTGATTTATATTCTCTGTATTAGTCTAATTTACTCATAGTGGGTCTAAAAATATACTAGAAGAAGTCTATTAGTATATTCAAGGTGTTACCTTTTCATTTTAACTGCCGTCTTAATGTCGACTGAATATCCTCATATACGTACATTTATGAACTTATCACACAAATAAAACTGAAAATCATCTCTCACATACCACAAGGGACGTAGCTGCACCGCTGAGGACTCTCTGGTCATCATCAGCATCGTCTCTCCAGAGTGTAGGACTCTAATGATCTAAAGAGGGGTTTATATTCAACAAAAACAGACCAATTAGGAGCTTTTTTACATGATTTATCCCTTTTTTTTTTTACAGCGTGTGGACGTCGGCATCTACAATTTGTTTATATTCAAAATAAATGACTGTATTATTCAAATACGACCCTTAAAATCAAATTAGAAACTACAGATATGTGACATTCAAAGTCTGGAACTGCTGCTGTTGATTTATAATTAATAGGTTAAAGGCCATTTAAAGACTTTAAAGCTCTTTGAACATTTTCTTTCTCCTATAAAAGTACATATCACAACAACAAACCTGATTTAATAAGTACAGTAAGTTATTGACCGTTGTGCTGTGATGTTGAAAAGTCAGGAGTAACCAGCTGCTGCAGGAATAAAATGATAATAAATCAAATTAAAGAAGCATGCACTTGGATTGGATGTATTCCTAAAAGTGGGGAAAGCTTCCTGAAGACAGTAATGTAGGGAGATACAGATGAAAGATGACTGACGAGCATCATTAATTAATATAAACCGGACTATTTGAAAAACCCCGTTTGTGGTTTCATTTTTCAGTCGCACGTCGCTGTTTATGCTTCTGCCAGCTGAGTTGACAAAAAGTGATTCCATTAGAATAATTGCAGATAAATTTGTGCCCTTATCATCCAGCCGGTTCTAGATGTGACAGTAATGTTCTGGGTTTGAGGCCTATCAAAGCCAACAATGATTTTTCCCAAATTACTTCTGGCAGGAGAAAACACACTTACTTCAAATTACAGGATGATCTTATGCCAGTGCTGAGTTACAGTAATCTCATCATGCCAGCTGGCTTTGGTGGAATATATGAATTTATTACTGCCTGCACAACCCAGTTCGAACTGCAAAACATAAACCGATGACATGATCCTTCAGTTATTTATTTGCAAATGGAGTGTTTCAGAGATCCAAACCCAGAAATGACGATTGGACCGAGCGTCGGTGTTTGGAGCTGAACAGAAAAACATTTTCAGTCTTCATGTGCGCCACATTAAGGACGTTCTTTCCTTTTCAAAGCGCCTCAAACACCTTTCTGAGGTCAGGGAGCACTCTCCAGTGAAGATTGTTTGTTTGTGTTCAGACTTTCTTCGCTCGGTGTTGCTCTGTGCACTGCAGCATTCATCCTTCAGGGCTTCCTTTTGTTCACAAAGAGCAGAGAGCTTTTGGTGTTTTGTACGTCTTTGCAGCATTTCAAACGGCACATAATACATCAATCAACCACTGTGTGTGTTAATCCCTGTAATTTATAAATGCATGTTTGTCGTTCATAGCTTTGCACTTCTTGTCTCGGCACAAGAGCTTCAAATGTTCAGCTTAATTTGCATGTATTTTAAATATCAGCCAACCTGTGACACTCATCCTAACAATGATAATGCTGCTGATGTGGATCCGATGTGTTTTATTCATTACTATCAGTGCGTTCATCACATTTCGCTGTATGTTTGTACTCCATGCTGCGTCTCCCCACCCCTTCAAAACTAGGCCACATTCTCCACCCACCAAAACTTCGTTGGCTGCCTCTTGACACTTCAGTTTGCAGCTCACTGGGGTCTGCTTGAAGCTGACGTGCCAATCCAGCGGTCACCACTTGGACTCTTGTCAGGAGGTAAATACCTTCATCACACACACTCTCCGAGCCGATTGTCTGTTTTATTTTTGTTGATTTGTTTCAGGTTTTTGTATTAAACAAAGTGAACGTCTGTGAGAGTCGGTCTTTCATCCATCTGATGCATCACCAACCGTTGTGTGTCTCTTCACAACTTGTAGGCTGCGAATCGAGAGAGACAGGATGCTGCAGGGGTTTCTCTTACTGTTTCCTTGGCTGTTCCTGAACACGGGACTGTGTTCTGCAGGTAGGAGGACATTTATTCATCTCGAGTTAGGTATTGTGCAGAAATGGTGCGAACATCCATATGATAGATGTAACGAGGCTTATCTGCATCTTTTGAGTGCGCGTCGATGCAGAAGATGGTCTGACTGACGTTGGATAATTTCTAAATAAACTCTGCCGTTGGACACGGATGTATCAGAGTCTGACCCGGTCACTGCATTTGAAATTCAGTTTGGTGGCAGCTCGCTTTTTTTCTTTGCCAAATTCCTCGTGTTTTCTCTGCAGGATTTGGTCGAAGTCTGCCAGGCCTGACAAGACATAAATACATAAACTGTCAGCTCGGATGCATATCAAAGTGTAGCGCCACATCCTGTCCAACTCTTGTTGAAAAACAGAAAAGGAAGCGAGCCAAGTGACAATCTCACAAAAACCGGTAATAAATCAACTGTATGGAGCAAACAAAGACTCTGTGTTTCAGAGTGGCCAAAAAGTGACAGCGGCCTGAAGAGCTTGTATACGTGTCATCTTCTGAAAAGGAGGATCTGATGGTTGTCAGGATCACCCTGTGGTGATGGATCCCCAAGGCCTTGGCCTGAATTGAAGCTTTTGATACTCTTTGACTGCCCTCCCATCTCACAGTGCCACGGCATTGAGAGTCTTTGAATTAACACACTGCTCTAAATAGATTGTGGAGTGCAGACAGTTTGCGAGTAGGAGAGGAGACCGGCCAGATCTCTAGGATACCGGAAAACTCTTGTGACTAGAAAGTCAATACATGCACCTCCGACATGTCTATGTGTGTGTCAGATGACCAGTGCACAATGGGGTCTTTGATTCTGCTAAATTTAGGGTGGACATCAGCTGGGAAAACATCTGTGAGGGAAGATAAACCAGGAGCTGCTCTCTTCCTCTGATCTACTCCCATGGTTTGATGACTCTTTGTGTCTAACAGACTTTATTAGAGAAGAATCACAGTTTGGACACAGTTGATTTTTAATCTTTATTGTACATCTTTAGCCATTTGTTGTGCCAGAGAGCAAAGACAGTTTCAGACTTATTAACCTTTTACTGAGTGATTATTCTGATTCAGGCCCCAAACATACATCATGTTAAAGCACAAAGCCTGATGATTTAAACCATGTAAAGCATTTTAAGATACTAATACCACCACAGCAATAGTTTCTTACATTTAAAAGGGACACGATGGTTGATTTCTTACCCTTTCTCCCGTCTATAGTGACACATGGTTGTTGAACCGCTGTGTGCTACGTACTATTTTTAACCCTACGGCCGGTGTGAAGCCTTCATTACACCCTCACAGGGACACACATGGACAGCTGCAGACACCTCGTTGTTATTGTGTTCCATCTGCTTGGAGGACTGTGTGCAGAAGATCGGTTTATTGGTGTTTTTTACATGGAAACCAGCTCCACTGTAGCGTAGCAGCTGCATGGATACAAACGTTGGGCTGCATGTGGACAGCTGCAGAGAGGTTTGTGTGGACTCTCGTGGACCTGGGCCGCCACCAGCATTCACATCAACGCAGAACGTTTACCACTGGCCTTACATGTTTAGTGTGTGCAAGACCAGAACGGTCCACTAGTGCAACATAAAGTTCTTAAAGTCAAGGTGAGGCCTTCATTAATCTGTCTTGTGGATGTGAACACAGACAAATGCAGACACCAGGGATTATTTTCATGAAATATACCCACTCTAGGGGAGATAAAGACATTCATGCAAACCCAAGCTGACACTGGAGAACCCTCACATACTCACAGACATGGAAAGTCCATGCAATGACTGCACTACAAGGGCAATAATATGTGTATGGAACAGAGTCCTCCAAGTGTACGACAAATAGAATAGAAACTAGCACAACAACCACTGCTGTCCACAGAGGAGAATAATGATGTCCAACAAACACTTTGAGGTCCTTCAGTCTTTTTTAGTAAACGAGGTGAATGTTGAAAAGTTTAAAGAGAAAAACTAACCAATGAATGCCTAAATCATATTAACAAGTCTTAGAGTCATTCACAGTCCACAACCAAGAAGTCAGGGCATCACTAAACCATCAGGATACATCATCTGGGAACCAGGAATGGCCGTGCAAAGATTTGTACCAATCCAGTTGAACTATTTTATGGGAAAAATAACAACTTTGACCTGCTAGTGGAATGCAGTAGAAAGCCAGTGGTCACCAACGTTAGTAGGATTCATCCTCAGGGAAACAAGAAAAAGTATTTAATGTCAATCCACCTAATGAGACCAAAGTGGAGGACTGACGGACCTGCAGATGAACACTACAATCAGAAAGCAGTAGTTCTGTAGGTGCACTGTGCTTGTGAACAGTTTGCATCACACTGACTCACCTGTGCGTTTTATCTTTCTCCTCGACACCAGCACAATCAGAGCTGACAATCACAACCATAAAGGTTTGTCAGTTACATCTTTCTCTCTGGCTGAAGTTTCAGATCTCTTTGAATACAAGATTAAAGATAAAACACGTTCCACAGATTCTGTTTTTGCACCTTTTTCTTTCAGCAAGAGCCATACACGATGTCCAAAGGCACACAGCTGGAGGGCTTCTGCATGGACCTGCTGTCTGAGGTCGCCAAGAAGCTGGGCTTTAAATACAGAGTGCAGCTGGTGAAAGACACTTCGTACGGCCGACAGGACGAGAACGGCAACTGGAATGGGATGATTGGAGAGGTGGTGAGAGGGGTGAGTGCACGAAAACTTGTTCTCCTGCTCTACAGGAGAACAAGTGTCAAACCCCTTCAAGGAGTTTCTACAGAGCATGTACCGTCTATGACACCCTATACATGTATTTCTGTGCAGGAGGCAGATCTGGCCATTGCTCCACTGACTCTCACTGCGGCTCGTGAGAAAGCTGTGGGAATGACCAAACCATTCATGCAGACTGGAATCAGTGTCCTACTAAGGAAGGACATCTCAGAGGGAGCAGGCTTCTTTGATTTCCTGACCCCCTTTTCAGCACAGACTTGGGTCGGCATACTGGTGGCCTACGTGGGGACGGCTGCCTGCATCTTCATCGCTGCCAGGTTGGTGACTAAAGTATTTCTCTGAGATTAAGATGTATTTAATAATGTTTATTGATGTGCTCAGAGAGTCGATGTTTGCGGATATTTCTTCTGGCTGTGGAGACCCTCTGAGTCGCATTAATAATTAAGACTTTTCATGCTAACTGCAGACTGAGCCCATGTGAGTGGAGTCAGCCTCAAAGTGAGCAGAGCAGATTCGGTTTCCTCCACAGTCTGTGGTACACGGCTGGAGCTCTGACGCTGCAAGGTGAACAGCACAGACCAGACACGTCACATTAGCATGCTATCACAATAAAACTCACAGAGGGGAGAAGGTCTATACGCTCTTTTTTCTTCTACATTCTCTCTCTTATGTTGTGGCGTTTTTCTGACCCTGTTTTCGTCTTTCAGGCGCTGGTCCTCATCCCAAATCCCTCTCAGGACGCGTCATCTGCTGCAGCTGGTGGCTGTTTGCTGTCGTCCTCTTGGCGTGTTACTTCTCCAACCTCAGCGCCTCCAAGAGCTCAGAGTCCAGTCAGCTGACGGTCAAAGGGTTTGAGGACTTGGCCAACCAGGACATGATCGAGTACGGCTGCCTGGCTGGTTCCTCCACCCTCGCTTTCTTCAAGGTGAGAAGTTCAAGGATCCTGTTCACACCACTTAACTAAATGCATGCACTTTGCTGATTTAAACATACTTCTTAAGTTGCAAACACTATTTTCAAAAGTTCCGCTCATTTTTCTTCACCTTGAGGATTTCAAGTGCCCTCCTCTGTCCTGACATGTCTGGACAGTTTCAGACACTTACTGATAAAATGACCTTTGATTGCAGACTCTGGTTTATTGATTGAACATAATTTCATTAGAAGTTGTCAGACGGGTTGATGCAAACTGCTGCCTAAGTTATTTTTGTGTGATTGTATGATGATGTTAAGACTCAACAGATTTTTTTCTCTCGTTCAGAATTCAAACAACCCCGTGTACCGCAGGATCTACGAACACATGGAGAGAACAAAGAGTTTCGTGTCGTCTATGGATGAAGGGATCCGACGTGCACGAGAGGGCAACTTTGCCTTCATTGGAGAGTCTGTTTCTCTGGACTTGGCCGTAGCGCGTCACTGTGAGCTGGTCAGAGCGCACGAAGTCGTTGGCATGAGGGGCTACAGCATCGCTGCTGCTCTGGGTGAGGCTGCTCATCTTTAAAACCAAGTTAAAATATGAACTTTACACAAAAGTTAAGACGTTAAAATCAATCTTACATCAAAACTATGAATTTTGTCAAGGTTCTCCGATCATAAAGAACCTCAGCGTGGCGATCCTGCAGCTGAGCGAGGCCGGAGAGCTGGCGTACCTGCGAAGCAAATGGTGGGCCAGCAGCTGCATCGCAGGCAAAGCCAAGTCTTCAGCTGTGCAGCCGCACAGCCTCAAAGGGATGTTTCTGGTTCTCTCCCTGGGCCTTGGGCTGGGAACAGTTCTGGCTGTGCTGGAACTCACCTCCAAGAGCCGCAGGAGCGCAGCAGAGCAGAAGGTTTGTGCAAATCAAACACAACAAGAGTGTTTGTGGCTCTGCAGCTTGTTTTTGACTCATCTGTAGGAGTTTAAGCTGCTTCGTTTAAAGCTTGTTCTATTTGCCGTGGCTGTTTACATGAACTCTACGGTGTAACAACGTGTCTGCTTCACTGCTCTTTATCTGGATCTTTTTGTCCATCCCACAGAAGTCCTGCTGCACTGTGCTGACTGAGGAACTGAGTCTGCGCCTGAGGACCAGCGATGCAAAAACATCCCAGGAAAATGCAGAAAAAGACAAAGAAAAAGCATAGAAGCCTGAGAGAAACTGAGAAATGATCAACTCTGAAAAGCTTCTTTAACTTTCAAAGTGTGCCAGTATTTGATAGAAACATTAACTCTGTAGATTTTGAACTCTTAAAATTTGAGAACTCATTTATTAAAAAAGACAATTTATTGAGTTTTAATGATCAACTCTAGAATTTCCATGAAAAATCAAACATTACACTTGAATTTTTATAAAAAATAATTCCAGGTTTACACTTGAAAACTTAAAAACTGACTAACAGATAGCGCTCACGTGTTTAGTTCTGTTTATGTTGTTGTTTACATCTCTGCATCGTGCTATTTTGTACAGTTGGCATCATGTGATCTGAACAATTCCTTTTTAAAGACTATTTCATGCATAAAAGCTGTGATGACTGTAAACATTCCAGGAGGACTAAAATATTAAAAACTGCCTAATTGCATAATTCTGCTCCCATTTATTTAGAAAGAGAAGCAGAACTGCTCTGTGACTTTTTCTGAAGGAAGTCTTTGGTGTCACACATGTGAACTGATCTGACAAACAAACTAAAAGCAGTAAAAACAAAAGCTGGTATCTGATGCAGCCGCTCAGCTTTTGGTTTGCAGTTCTTTTTTTTTTTTACATTTCTTTGCTACTGAGGCTCACTGTCTAGAAAAAGCGGTGACTTGCAGCGGATCTCTCTCATCTTCTGGTCAAAAAGAGCCTTCATCTCCCTCTGCAGGGTGCCTTCGCTTCGCTCCGCCTCGCCTGGCACGCAGGACGGTACGAACTCCAGGCTGTCGGTGCTGCTGCTGGACGCGCTGTCCGACAGGCAGAGGCCGTTGGGGATCCGCCTCACCTGGTTGCTGTAGCTGCCATAGCTCTGCGCTCGCTGGGCCTGCCAGTGGACAGTGGGCCTGCGGCTCACCATCGGCGTGTGAGCAGAGGTAGTCTGTTTTCGAGGGCAACTGCGGGAGCGGGCCTTTGTCCGGATTGGGGTGGATGGTCGGGGGCTGGCGGGAGCCTCCAGGGTCCGTCTGACCCTGGCAGGAGATGATGGAGGAATCAGTGGAAGGGGTTTGGCTTCACGCTGTGGCACCGGCTGAGGCTGAGGCTGAGGCTGAGGCTGAGGGGGGGAGTCCGTTTGGCTCTGAGTTTCTGGCAGTTGCTCAGGTTCAGAGGCAACATTTTTGTCTGGCTCTGGTTCTGGTTCTGGTTCTGGTGGTAACTTCTCAGATGGTTCAGGCTGCTCCGGTTCAGATTTGTGAACTGTCTGCTGCTCCTCACAGTTGGACTCCGGTAATTCACTCTCCAGCTCCTCTTGAATCAGTGGGTTTTGGCTGTAAGGAGCAGGATCATCGGGATTAGAATGCTGGGAAAGGGTCTCCAGGTCAAAGTTCTCCATGATCACGCAGGGAGCAGCCCCAGCGTGGTGGGAGTCAGTGGAAGACATCCGGCTGAAGATCCCTCTCCTTGTCTCTGGTGGTTCATGAATTTTAACTCTGTGGGCTCGCCTCAGCGGCTCACTCATCGCCCCTTTGTGGAAGGCAGCCTTGGCTGCTGGCCCTTGGACCATAGGAAACCAATCCCCATTCCTGCTGTCCTGGGAGAGGGTGTCCAGATCCTTGCGAAAGAACAGAGCGCGTCCGTCCTCTGAGGACTGGACGGAGGAGTCCAGAGAAGGTTGCCTTGGTGGGCCCTTCATGTGCTTCTGGGCTGCTTTCTGGATGTGCTTCTTGGCTGCTTGCACAGCATTTGAAGGTTTGATCTGTTTCACAAAAGACAGAAAATATCATCAGAGCTGTAGAGCTGTCAGAAGAAGATGAAAGCAGACGTGAAAGGTTTTGGTTTTGAAACAACCGACCTTTCCTGTTATGTCATTGATAGCAACGTGAACAAAGATGGACGACGCCGCCATTCCCTCCAGGTAGACATGTCGATAACCTGGAAACAGAATCACAGAAGCTTGTTGATGTTGCTCGTCTATAAACTGGCGATTTCTGTCCACCTGAGGGCAGCTGAACACCAACACTGACTGATCACGGCCTTTAAAGTTGCTGATTTACACATGCAGTTGTTATCTGGAGTCGTGTTTCTTCCACCTTGAAAATTTAAATCCAGTGTTCATCCCTGTGTTTGGTGTCTGCCAACGCCTGCAGGAAACACCTGACTCATGAAAACTCTGGCCAGCCCATAACTGTGTGGTCGTGTACAGCAGAAATTTAGAGCGTTTTGGGCGAAAACAGAAAGAACCACCAGACCCAAGAGCCAGACAACGAGCTGAAAGCCAACATGAACACACAGCTGCAGATTCAGGTGAGTTTCACATCGTCATGTTGTTTTCAGCTTGTCATCTTCTGTCTCACACAAACTTCATATTATTTTGTGCTGGTACGTTGAGCTTTGATCAGAATAATGTAGACAGGACAACGTGTGAATGAGAGAGTAGTTTAACTCCAAACACAGTCTGGAGACTTGACCATCTCATCTACCTGGCATCATGCTTCTGAACGCCACAGTCCTCTGTCCGATGAAGTCTCGTCCAATAGGGTCGTGATCCCACACCTGGAACCGCACCAGGGCGATCTGCGGCATCTGAATGCTGAAGACCAGCGTTTCCTCCCACATTGGGTTGAAACCTAAATGAAACAGAAGCTACAACAGTGAGCTTGGTGTGACATGATCCGGATCACAGGATTGGGTTTCCACACATACCGTTATCGTCCACCACTCTGGTCTGCTGCTTGGAGCAGTCAACAGGCAGGCCGATGATTTCAACTTCAACAAAGGGGTCGATAATCTGACAGAAACACAAGAAAACAGAACTTTAGGGTGCATAATGTTGGTGTTTAAGTTGTATATCTGCTATATGTTGGCCTCACCTCTCCTCTGTCCCCGAACATGGAGTCTTTGGGTTTAGGAAGCTGCTGTCCGCTGATGATCTTCAGCACTAACTGAGTTTTTCTGTGTCCCGGTAGAGGATCCTCCAACGCAGGGTTAAAGGCAGCTGAAAACACAACCACGTTTACCACCTGATCACGCTGCCATGTGCTCTGCAGTCTGCACAGATACCTACTTTTACACATGCACTTCGGCTTGAGGATGTATCCACAGTTTCCGTTGCTTGAGAACTTGGCTCGGTTCAGTTCAAGCATGCGACCTTCTGTCTGGTAGTTCATCGCAACTGAAATGAAGCAACCACATGTATTGAAATCTGCCACACTTCCTAACAGACGCTCAGGGTAAAACCATGCAGATTCTGGTTTCTGTGACGGTCCATTACCCATATGGCATCCTGCATTCCAATATGGCTGTGGGTTGAAGTTGCTGGAGTCCACCCTGTAGTTGGACGGGTAGACTCTGAGGAGCTGGCGCTGGTTGAAACGGACCAGCTCACCTGGTTTCAGCTGCAAGATCTGGTTCATCACGGTCTCATTGAGGGACGATACCTGCCAGCTGTTTGTATGTGCTGCCAGACAGAAGAAAACATCAGGAATCCCTTCGACAACACTTGGTGATGAAACATGACTGAGTCTCGGCTCTACCTTGTGTTTCTATGTCGTGCACGCGGACAGACTTTGTGTATTTGACCAGGTCGGACAGAGCTCGGGACAGCCTCATGGTTTTCCTTTTTCTGAAGGGAGAGTTGTAGAAACACAAGTGTGACCTCCAGTACAGCAGCATGGAGACAGATGAGCTACTCGTTTGAAT